ACAAAGCATGATCTAGGTAGGGTCTTAGGAAGGGGCACATTGGGGCTTAGGGATGAACAGTGGCTTGGGAGAAGACGACTCGAGGTAGCGTGGGCCTGAAAGAAGTGGCAGGCCATCCTGAAGCACTTGGACCCCATCCAGAGGACAATGGGCAGTCACCGAGTTCCAGGCCCAAGAGTGTCATGAGCTGACTTGAGTATTGCAGCAAGCCTTCTGGCTTCGGGTGAGAACCACGGCAGCTAGAGCCTTTCCACAATCCAGGCGAGGGCTGACAGTGACTTAGGTCACAGCAATATGGGGCAATGGAAAGACTCAAGCATCGAGCGTTATGGAGGCATTGCTGTGCCTGATGTCTGGGGAGGGGGAGGGAAGAATCCAGGATGATGCCTGGGGTTTCTGGCGCAGGTCAATGGGCGGAATGGTGCTATATCTTCATGAACTGGAAGTGTGGAAGAGAGGAATTCGGGGTAGGGAAGAGGCTGGATTTAGCTGAGGGGGGTCCACCAGAGGATCCAGAAGCTGCCTGGGCACAAGGAGGGAGCAATGCCCATGAAAGAAGCTGCACACCAGAAGGGCTAAGGGTCATCATGCAATGCCAAGGAGACTCTGTTGGTGCGAAGAAGGGTCCTTCCCAAAAGATGTACGGTTTCCACGCCGTACAGTTCCAGCCGTCAACCTCCTTCAGCACCAGGGCTGAAGCCCCAGCAGCAGACACCCCCGTGGGCTCTTGGGAGCATCACCATTGTCCAAGTTCCAAATAAAGCTGAGGCCCCGTGGACCCTGAATCTCCAAGCTGTCCTCTCTTGGTGTCCTCATCCATCTAACATCTGCATCCTTCCCCCAGCCTCTTGGAACCCTTCTTCAGTTACCCAGGCAGGGACCCCTCTCAAGAGCATGATGTATCCCAACTTGCCTGAAAGTTGGGGAGGGGGGACCGCACCTGCTCCAAAAAATACCCACCTCCCCCTTGCCCACTGAGGCAGAAATGCCTGATTGCCTAAAGAGACCACCAGTCATTCTCTCCTCTCACTGGGGTGAGTTTCTGGGAATAACAGGCCCATCCTCCCTATGAGAGCCAGCACATAATAGATGTTCAGGAAACAGTATTTGAAGGAGAACTCTACAAGACTTCCCTCTCAGACCCCAGAATCCAAAAAGATCTATCTGGGACCAGAAACCAGGAGAAACGAGAGTAAGGTAGATCTTGTCTCCTTTTAAAATGTTGACCAGACGCCTTCTGCTCTTGCCACAGGAGAGTCAGGACTAGAGAAGCTATCGGGGTGTAAGAGAAAAATCTCTAGTGCTTCAGGGAAGGGCTGAGCTGGGAAAGCTAAGCTTCAGTACCAGCTCCCTCAGTTCTGTCTCCAGCCTGGGCAAGTCACTCTCCCGTTGCAAAGGGATACTAACTTGGCCTAACTCACAGGATGGCTAGGAGGTCAAGTGAAATACCACACACCATGGTGGCCACACAAGCGTACCTACTGCTACTATTGCAACTACCGTTCTTAGCACACCTGGTACCCATTCAGCCTGGGCTCTTTATCCCACGTCCTTCCCTTAGCTGAAAGATTTAAGGGCTTCTCAGTCTGTACAGCTGGGTTTTTTTCTTAGAAGCACCCTCTTTTATGTCCCGAACCGCACCATCAGAGGAGCCCCTCCCCTCTGGCTTTCGCACCCCCTCTCAAGCCTTCCTTCTTTGCCCCAGTGAGTGGCGCTTAACCAGCTGGAAGGGGTACATCCTGGCCAGAGACCCCGGAACTAGGAGGCCGGGCACTGGTCTCCATGGCGACAGCGCGGACCTACAGCACAGCGCGCGGAGCCGGCCACGCGCCCGCACCCGCTTATGTAACGCCGCGCACAGCGCAGAGCCAGACTACAGACTACAGGCCGGATCCCGGCCAGGAAAGGAGCACAGGGGAGGGGGCAGCTTGGTCGGCTCGTCCTGGGTCCCGCCTTTCCATCCGCTGCCTGGGCCAGACGCCAGGCTCCCGGCCTCATCAGCCAAGGGCTGATTTTGTCCCCTGCCTGGAACGCTGGGCTCACTAGTTAAGGGGGATGGGGAGTGAGCGTCTGTATTCTCAAAGGAGCAAGCCAGCAGAGGGGAAACTCGTCCTGATTCCCTAGAGCCAGGAGTTTAGGTGATGGGGGAGCGCCTAGAGGCGCGCAAGAGGCAGGCCAGACCCAGGCTGAGCCCTCCCCGCCCCCGCCCCCGCCCCCCGTCCCCGCCCCCTGGGAGCTCTCAGCCTGAATCGGCTTTCAATTAAGCTGCGGAGGCCAGATCTCGCCCGGAGGAAACAGGCGCAGGCAAAGGAGCCTCCCCCGGGGCCAGAGGCTGGACCTGGAGGGAATCCCCAGGGCAGCTTGGGGAAGGAAAGGGGGCGTCAGACCCCAAAGGGAAAGGAGATCTGGATGCCAGGGACAATATCCTTGGGATCTTCTTTGGCCCAGAGGAGTCCTCATACTCTCCCTGAGGTCAACACACCCAGATCCTTCCATCTAGTTCCAGGAATCTATACTCAAGAGTCAGGGGCTTTTGGTCCTTCTTTGCTCAAACCCAGGAAGTCTTTAGTGCCTCCTACCACCTTCACCAAGAGTCCAGGGGAGACCTTCCCCTTCTGGGATGCAGACTGCTTGACCCAGGTTCTGGCCACTCTTAATTCCAAGTGCTGGACTCTATATATAGAAAGAAAGTCTCCAGATGGGCCTGCTATTAACAGGGAGTCCTGAGAACTGGAAAGAACTATTAGTTAAAATTCTGCTTCCAGCACACATATGCCTCTTTACTAGGCCTTTGGCGACCCCAAAGAAACACAGAGGTCCAGTGAAGGTCGGTGGAAGAAGCAGGTGATGAGGAATCTACAGAACCCATTCTGGGAGCAGGGATGTCTCATAGTGGAGGCATCTAAGGAGGATCCTGGGAGGAAGTAACATCCCTTTCCTTGGCTCCCGGAGCACTGCTTCAAGATGCCTAGAGCTGCGGCAGACTAGACTTTTACAACCCCCTCCCCCTGCAGCCAAGGAAGCAGTGCCTGATGAGGTGACCTCGGGGTCACTGGAGAGATGAATGAGCTGGCCAGCAGTAGTTCTGTCCCCTGTATAGGACTCAGCCTCATGGGGGAAGGGGAAGGGGGTGTCTCGGACAAAGGACCAGGGATGCTGATGCCCCCAGCCTTCCCACGCCTCCACTTGGCCCTGACTGTGATCCAAAATCAAGGACCTCGGAATCAAACCTGCTAGTGTCTGCGAGATCATGCTTTCAGCTCTTGGGGCCTTGGGCCCTCTCCTGGGGAGGTCTGTGGGATTCGCAGCCCAGAGGGTCAAGCAATGCCTGGAGGAGCGTTTGAGAGCTCTGAGTGCAGACAGCAGGCACTGGAGATGCGCTAGTGCGCAGGGGACGCAGCGCCACTAAAGGGTGGGGGCTGGGGGCGGCTGACAGCAGTGATGGATGGCTGAGACCGCTTGGGGGCGGCGAGGGGCCTGGGAGCCCGAGGGGGTGGCTGGCCTCGAGACCTCGGAGCAGAAAAAACGGCAGTGAAGGATGACGGAGAACCGGAACAGCACAAGGATTTGCTCCAGAGCCCCTCGGCTCCTGACAAGTCTCTGCACCCACCGCAGCGAGTCCGCAGTGTCGCCACGGCGCTGGGGATACAGCCACCGGGACCCCGTTTCTGAGGCCTCACAAGGATAGCTAAGAGAGCTAACTATAAAGACTTCCCCCCGCCCCGCCCTAAAAAACATACTGCTGCCCCAGGGTACCAAGAGAAGGGGAAAAGGGTGAAGACGGGATCTTGCTTCCTGTCCTGAATAGGAACCCATTGAGAACTGAGAGGGAGAGGGAATTCAGCAAAGTAGACCTGAAAATCCACAGAGGAGGCAGCTTCAGGTTGAGATAAGGACTTCATGGATCCTTGGGGGAGGGGGTCCTGGTTGCACCAAGTACCCCTTAAGGGGTCACCGCTGCCCAGACGGAAGCTATCATATGCCTCCAAACACCAGAGCCATCACTCCCCCCACCTTCCAGCTGGAAGCTCAGAGCGAGGGACTGCAGCAGACTGCGCCCCCAGAAGCCACTGGTCCCTGCTCTGCGCCAGGACGCCCGGGTCCCCTCTCGGGGAAAGGAGCCTCCCTCCTGCCCGTCGAACGGCACGTCAGCCCTGTTCCAGCTATTCCATCCCCTTCCAGCGTCTCTCATGTTTAACTAATCCAAGTCTGGCCCCAGGCCGCGGATCATCCCAACCCGGGGTCCCCAATCTGCCTCGGAGCGCGGCGCATTCCAGAACCTCGGACAGCGCCTAGCGCATTCCAATGGAGCAAGCCTCCCCGCGGCCTCCCGCATCCGCAGCCTGGGTCAGTCCCTGGCTCTTCTCTATAGGAGGCGGCCCCCGCTCCGCCTCTCACCCCGAAGCTGCCCTCCTCCTCGCCGCCCCCTCCCCCGCCGCCCCCGGACCACTGCTTACCCGGGTTGGCTCCCCCATCGCCGTCCTCGCAGTCCGTCAGGTTGTTGAGCATGGTGGCTGCGCGGCGCCGGCCCCGGGATGGCTGCGCCGCTTCACCCGCGCCCCTCTGCCCGCCTTTGCCGATCGCTTGCTCGAGCTCTCTCGCTCGCTCTCCGCTCCACGGAGGAAGAAGCTGCAGTGCCCGCCCGCCCGGCGCACACACACTCGCACACGGACACACGCTCACACCCGCGCGCGCCCCCTCTCAGCAGCGGCGCTGCTCACCTCATCCCGTATGCAGGAGGCGTGAGCCACTGGCGGGTTTTTTGGGGGGGGAGTCGGAGGGAGGGAGGAGAGGGGATGAGGGGAGGACAGAGAGCTCCAATGGCCCCCTCGCAGGAAAACTGGGGGCTTGCACGGGTAGGATGGAGGGGGTGCTGCGGGGGACGCGTCCCTAGCTTCCTAGAGCAGAAGCAACCCCCCCCCCACTCTCCGGCGCAGGCGGGGCCCGGCACGTGGGCAGGTGCCATCCCGCGCCCTAAAAATAACGGCAGGGAACTAGGTCGCGGCCGCGGGGAGGCGGCCCCGCAGCGACTGCCTGACTGGGGGTCCGAGGTGACCCCAGGAGGGAAGATGTGGGGAACTGAGGCGGCAGGGGCGGGCGCTGTGAAATATAAGGGCCCCAGGGAACCTGTCTACAAAACTGGTGATGCAAGACCTGGAAGGAAAACCAGACCCGTTTCCAGATCTCTGTCCTAGAGGTTGGAGCTGAAGGAAGATGGAGCCTAGGCCCCTGTCAGTTAGGCACTATGCTGCCCCGAGGGGCCTCAGGTCAATGGGTCTGTCTGGCCCATCCTGTTTTTAAACCAGTGGCTGCCACTAGAGGAGTTGTAGAGAACTCTCTCGTGGTGCTCAGGCTGGTTGGAGTCTCAGCATCCTACCCCAAGACAAGTCCCTGGAGTTCACACCACAGACAGGGGCTTTCTGACGTGGAATGACCTATAGATGAAATGCAATGAAGAGCAGGAAGCAGTGAGGTCCGGAACACCACCTTTCCACCCGAGATGGTGCAGCCTCTAGGGAGGGTATGCTGGCCCCGGGCTGGCCAGGAATGGGGTGGGGGAAGGGGAGAATGAGGCCGCCTGCCGGTTGGGGACCAGATTTTCTCCTGGGGCGGGAGTGTCTAATCCCCTAATCCAGGATTGCTTTCTGAGGCTTTCCAGATCTGACATGCTCTCCTGTTCTCCTCCTCCCCTCCAGCCCTGCCCCCAGAAGCTTGATCACCCTGGGACCCTCAGCAACCCTAGAGTCCAGGCTTGAGCCAATCATGGAGACACTGCAGAAAGCAACATCTGAGGTTTGGACCCTTTGAACCTGGGAGGTCTAAAACTATCAATGTAAAGTAAATAGCTTCACAGTCACCCTGGTTCCTGACTCGAGTCCTCAAAATCCCAGGGCAGAAGAACTTTTGGTCTTATCTAATGCACAGTTTTCATTTCATAGATGAAAAAACTAAGCACCCAAGACAGAAAATGACTGCCCATGAACACAAAGCCAGTGAATGGCAGAATTCAGTCTAGAACCCATTTCCATTTACTACAACTTAGTAAACTACAACTCTTCAATAGAACCTCTTTTCAAATTGATCTTGCCTCCAATGAAAGAGACAAGAATGCAATCATATCTACACTGCTCAGCTGTCTCCGATTCTCTGATCAAAAAAAAAAAAAGAAATAAAGAAAAGAAAAATTAACAGGGGTTGAGTCTGGGATGAGTTCCCTCCTTTTATGCCCAGGTTTCAAGATGCAGGGCTAGAGCGGCCTCTTGGCTGAAGCAGGACGTCTCCAGTATCTGCAGCTACCTTACAACGCAGGCGTTTTCAGGACCTTGGATAGAGCCGACTGCCTTGCTGGCTCTGTGGAATTTGTCAATGGTTTCAGTCTAGGTCAACCGTGGAATCTTCCACAGTGGACTCAGAGATGTTTCTGAGGGACTCGCCAATAAGGTGCTTCCACAGCTTGGTTTTGCAGACATTCAGATAATACGTTAGGGTGGAGAGTTAACTATTCAGACAAATTGTGAGCATTTGGGAGTTGGTGTGATAGCTCAGTGATAAAGGGTACTTAAAACCAAGTCTGACAACCCAAGTTCAATGCTTGGAACCCAAATGGTTGAAGTAGAGAACTGATTCTTGCAAGTTGCTCTCTGCCCACACATTTTGCACACATATACAATAACAATATAATATTTTTAAGAAGGTGTGAGTATTTGGTACACACACACACACACACACACACACACACACGTACACGTACACACGCACACATACACCAGCACACTACAGTCTATATTATATTACTCTGTAGAGGTGTATAAAAGAGTAAAACATGAAGTGTGTTTGTCAGAGGTGTTTTCCAGTGATCTCCAGTCTGGGATGTCCCCCTAGGGGCACATTTCTTCACCCATGGCCTAGTGCTATTGCATCTCTGATCATCCAGGGAGTAACCTGTCTATAGGAACATGTAGATCACCACAGAAAGCAGGTGAATGCCAGAGTGGCTGTCCTTTCTGGCTGCCCCATTCTCAATCTTCACTAGAGCTAACCTGGAGAGCCACCTGGGGTGTGGGAAATACTGATTCTGTCCTATCCTCTGCTGCAGAATAGGATAATTATTCCTGGACTTCAGCATCTGCATCCACGTAGTGAAAAAGTGATTCCTCCCTGTCTTCTGTGGGTCTTAGATTAAGGCCATGGAGCTCTTCCTGAGGAGGCCTTGGGATATTGCTCTGCTCGAGAGAACTTGCCTAGCATGCATAAGGCCCTGAGTTCAGTCCCCAACACCACAAAGTATTTTGGGGTGGGAGGAAGTTACCTGGCTGGTTGTAGTGGTACACCCCAATCAGGAGACAGAGACAGGGTTCTCATGACAAGTTTGAGGCTAGCCTAGTTTACATATGAGCGTCAAACCAGACAAGGCACTGCAAAGTGAGGGAGGGGAAAAAACATCCTTCCTGGGGAGTCCAGACCGAGCAAGGGTGGAGTCCCAAAGGGAGAACCCAAGCCCTTCAACTGATACCCAATCCAGAACGCTGGGCCCTCTTCCTCAACTTCCTGGTGAGGCTTTCAGAAAACTCTCTGCAAGAACCTCCTACATGGCCAGCCTTGCCTTGGCCAATAAAAGGTGGCCTTCAGCTCTGAAGCCCAGAAACCAGAGTGCCCACTCAATATACCCTCCCCATGCAGAGGACCAGAACCCTGGGAAGATGAGACCGTAGAGGAAAGCCCCCATCAGAGCTGCTGAAGAGACAGCGAGCAGGGTCCTATTTCTGAACTCAGAGTCTCTAAAATTCATACCCCCCACCTTGTGTTTCTCAGAGAAGCTCAGTGAAGCTGCCTCCCACCACGTGAGGACTGAGGTGCAAGAAAGGACTTTATAAATTATTTTTCCACTTACCACTTATGATGAAATTGGAGTCTAGAAATGGAAATGGAATGGGAGGCATTTTCCTCGTGGGCTGAATTTACAAGTGGAGACTAGAATCCAGCATCTCAAACTCTAGGTAGGCCTTCTCCACTAAGCCAGGATAGGGGCTGTCCAGTGGAAGCTGGAAGACCCAACTGTACCTTTTTTTCCCACAGTATTTCCCCCATTTGGCTCAGCCCCTACCCATCCTGATTACCACAGTATCACCCCCATGACCTACCCACCTCCTGCCATGGAGCTAAGACCCCGATGCCTCTCCTCCCCCCTCCTGCCACCTGCATGCCCTGCCCTCCAGACCCCAATCCTAGCTTTGAGTTGATGAGTCCAGGGCATAGCACGCCCCACACAAATAGGGCTCTCCGCAGAGCACGTCAACCACCACTGTCTCCATGGCAACCGGGGGCTTAATTAACAGGCTGCAGCCCCGTCACCAAGGCAACAGCACCCCAACAGCCCCCTATTCCCCTGCAGACTCAGCCTGTCTTCCCTATTTCCCAATCTGGACCTCTTCTCATGTAACTCAGCCCTAGCCTCACCCCGCCGGGAAAGCTGGGGCCTGTAGATAGCTCTGGTTCATTGAGAAGAGGGGAGGGGAGAGAGGGGGATGAGAAAGGGAGAGGGAAGGAGGGGGAGGGAGGGAGAGGGAGAGAGAGAGAGAGAGAGAGAGAGAGAGAGAGAGAGAGGGCTGTCACCATGGCAACTGCAGCCCTGTTCATAACCAGTTTGTTGTCATGGAGATTCCTAGGGCTCACCTTGGGCTGAGGTGGGCAGTAAGGTTCTGAGTCTTGATTGAAGGTGGAGAAACCAATGGACAGCTCATGCACACATGGACACACACACATACACACATACACATACATACATACACATACACACACATACACACACATACACACATGCACACACACATACATACACCATACACACACACACACATACACACACACCATACACACATACACCATACACACACATACACCATACACACACATACACCATACACACACATACATACAAATACACCATACACACACACACACACACACACACACACACACACACACACACACACCAGCATCATTCTTCTCAATTTACAGAGAGAGAGACTGAAACATGAGATCTGAGTCTGTTTTGGAAGAAGGATCTTTCTTCATGGTCCAGACTAGACTGCCTCAGCCTCCTGGAATTACAGGTGAGATTATTGCCACAAACTCATCTTCAGTTTTTTTTATGGCAGGAAGGACCCTTCCTACTTTATACTACAGATCGGTAAACTGAGGCCTAGGGAAGGAAAGCAGTGTGTTCAAGGTGATACGAGTTTGGGCCAGAGACTGTTTAGCCTATCTTATGGTCTTGCTTCATCCCCTAGCAAAAGTTATCTTATTATCCCTTCATGAAGGCAAGCCTCAATTTCTGTGAGCCTGGCCAACCCCAGGGCACCTTCCCACTGTCCAGCCTCCCCCTGAAAAGCTGAGGCATGGGATGTGGGTGAAAGTATGTGGCCTCGGCTCAGAGATTTAAGGATGTGTCTACTTCTATCCAGGGAGACAGCATCAACCTTCCTTCCTCTGGACCAAAAGGGGCAACCAAGGCATGTGTGCTGCAGTCCAGGGTTAATGGTACATTCCAGGCTCAGTTTCGCTTCCTTTTCATCCCCGTAGATCACAGAGCAGGCAACCCACCAAGGGGCAAACCCTATAGCCTGGGCCACAGTAAAGCACGATGCCCACACATATGTGGCTTGTCAAAGTCTCCCCACAGCCTCTCCCACCTTACACATGCCGTCACCCTCCCTTCGGGCCTGGGAACGAGAGGTGGGGAGAGCATCTCTGAGCGGCTCACTGACCGACTCTTGTCTGCAGACTGACACGAGAGCAGCTGTGGGAAAGACACCAGATGTTACGTTCCCCCGGGAGCACCCCTCTAATTCCCTGCTTGGTGACCTTCAAGGAGGAGGTACTGGAGGTCATCTGAGGGCTTGAGAGGTAAAGAGTCACCCAAATCATGACAAAGGGGAATCAAGACAAAAACAGAAATATATACACCAGCACGTCCATCACACGCACTGGCAGTGCAGAGACACGCATAAGCACTAACTCACTGAGTACTTGACAGGTCATGGGTGCACACACAGCCTCAACCACAAGCACACAACAGTCCATACTCACATTCATTTACCACGGACAGTTGGACAGTCAAATTCTGAGTCTACGCTTTACTTCAATGGTGCCGGTGTTAGGGAGAGTGAGTGGAAAGACTGAGCAATCACCTTGGGACACGAGTCCCCGACATCTTATTCCCAGGCCAAGGTCTGAAGAACAGGAGAAAAGAGGGAGGAAAAGAAGGAGACTGGGGCCACACGCCCTCATCTGATGAGCACCGATCACTCACTGCCAGGCTCTGGGTCTAGAACTCAGAACACAAAGATAAAGAGACATGATCTCTGTCTTTGACGCTTCAACCGGCATCCACTGGGAATGGGCTCCAGTGGGCAGGCTGAAGAGGAGTGACGACGTCTTTCTTCCTGGGAGCAAGGGAAAGTGAAAAGGATTTCAGAAGAGGTGAAGTGAGCTAAAGCTTACCCAAAGAGTGGGAGTTTTCCTAGCTCGTGGGGGGGGGGGGAGTGAAAGGAAGACGCATAACCAGATGCAAATGAGGTGCAAATGAGGAAAGAAGGGGGCTGACAGATGAAAGGGTTTGGCCTTTATCCTACAGTGGTGGGCATCTCAGGTGTGGGATGGTTAGACTGGGCTGGCGGTGGGGAGACCAGAGAGGAGGATGTGGTCCTGGCTATGTGAGCGAGGTTGCAGTCTTGAATCAGAGGGAGGGTGACAGGCAGAGGAGAGATGTACAGGATTCAGGATCAGTTTTGGGGGTCAGTGGCCAACTGGAACAATTGGATTTAATGAGAGAAGAGAAAAGGGTGACGAGACTCAGCGCGGCTGGGTTTGTTGGTTCTGAGAGGCTTGATACGCCATTTTTTAAATGAGAAACAAGAGGAGTTACAGCCAAGAGGGAGAGTGAGAAGAAACCCGAGTGTCCACATCCACGAGGCGGCTGGTCACCTGAATGGAACCTGCGGTAGTCCAGACTGGAGTTGTCCATACCTTGAGGAGCCTCCTGAAAGATCCCCCTAAGAACCATGCTTGTGTTAGCTCCAGGCAAGGCCAGCTCACCCGCGGCTCACGAGCGACCCCTAGCGTCCAGGGAAGGCTCTCTCCACTCGGCCCCGGGGCCACTCCAAGCCCATTCGCCCCTCTCCGTCCAAACACG